AATATCATCTCTAGGTTTTTCAGCTTTTCTATCAGTTTTTCCTTTTCTTTTTTTGTTATTCATTTATTATCTTTTTTTGTTAGGGTAAGGGGTTAGAATCAAAGCGGAGTTGTTCCACTCACCCTGTCAAAAAATAAAAGTCAGCAGCTACAAAAACTGTAGCTGCTGACTTGTAAAAAACAACCACTTACCCCGCTCCCATGCCACCTTTCTCACCCTTCTTCTCCTCCTAACCGCGGGGGACATCTCCCCAAATCCTGGCCCTCCACCACCTTGCTCACCCACATAGCACCCTCCCGCTTCCACGTCCTGCCGCAACCCCCTCAACCTAGTATCTGTCCCCCTGCTTCCTAAAACCACCCCTCCCGTTTTCATGTGCACTCCTGAACACCCGATCGGTGTGCAACAAGCTTACTGCCATCCACGACCTCTTTGTTTCCTGCTCCCTCAACCTTCTAGCGATCACGGAAACCTGGATCCAGGCCACTGACTCTACCTCCCCTGCTGCACTCTCCTATGGAGGTCTCACCTGGACCCACTCACCCAGACCCAACGGTCGTAAAGGTGGTGGGTTGTTCTGCTCCTGTCACCACAGAGCACCTTCCGAGTCCTCCCAAACTCCCTATCTCTATCCTTCTCCTCCTTCGAGGCTCACTGCATACAACTATTCTCCCCAACCCCCCTGAAGATTGCCGTAATCTACCGGCCTCCTGGATCGGTATCCCGCTTCCTTGATGACTTTTCCTCCTAGTTACCCTTCTTTCTCTCCTCCGAGCTACCCACCATCGTCCTTGGGGATTTCAACATCCCTGTCAACATTGACAACCCGGCCACATCCCAACTCCTCCACTTAACCTCCTCCTTTGCACTTGCACAGTGCATACAAACCACCACCCACTCCGACGGTAATATCCTGGACCTTGTCTTCTCTAACCGCTGCGCTCCCCACAACCTCACAAACACCCCCTACCCTCTCTCTGACCACAACCTTATTACCTTCTCTGTCTCCTTATCCTCTAACGCCTACCCCTCCAAATGTCATACCACTACCAGCCGTAATCTCCGCAACCTGAACCCTGCCCCCCTCCACTCTGCAGCTGATCAACTCCATGACAGCATCCTCCCCCTGTCCTGTCCCGACCTGGCTATGACTGCCTATAACAACGCGCTGTCAACAGCCCTACTCACTAGCGCCGTTAACCACACGAAATATCAGACTCCGACCGCTCCAGCCCTGGCAGACTGATCACACCAAAACTTTCAAATGACACAGTCGTGCCCTGGAGCGACTATGGCGCAAAACCAGATCCCTACAAGCCTTCACCCACTATAAATCTGCCTTCCACACCTACACCTCCTCCCTCCACGCTGCCAAACAAGCCTACTTCCTGACCCTCATCAAGACCCTCTCCTCCAATCCTCGCCGACTCTTCTCCACCATTAACTCTCTACTCTCTCCCCCCCACCTCCACCCAGCACCTCACTCACCGCCCTTGAGATTGCCAATCACTTCAAAAACAAGATGAAACTATTCTCAAGGACATCGCCGCTACTCAAACTCCCTCCAAACCCGTCCTCTCTCACACAACTACCCCCTCATCACCCCTCTCCCTCGACACAATCTGCAGAGACATCGTCACTGCTCAAACTCCCTCCAACCCCTTCTCCTCTCACACAGCTACCCCCTCATCACCCCTATCCCTCGGCCCCACCACTGCTCTCTCCTCCACCTCCACCCCACCCAACATTCCTCACACTGAAACACTCTCAACACTCCACACCTTCGACCTTACTACCATCGAGGAAGTCTCCAAGGTCTTCTCTGACGCCCGCCTCACCACCTGCCCCCTCGACCCTATCCCCTCACAACTCCTACAACCTCCCTCCCCCTCCATCCTATGCTCCCTCACCCACATCTTTAATCTCTCCCTCTCTTCTGGCGCATTCCCTTACCCTCTGAAGCACGTGCACATCACCCCCATACTTAAAAAGCCCCCCCTGGACCCTAAATGACCCGAACAACCTCAGACCCATCTCCCTGCTCCCATTCACATCCAAAATCCTCGAGCGCTTAGTCTACTCTCACCTCAACGACAACAACCTCCTTGATCCCCTACAGTCTGGCTTCCGTCCCCTACACTCCACCGAAACTGCCTTACTCAAACTCTCCAATGACCTTCTAACCACCAAAGCTAATGGCCACTATTCAGTGCTCCTACTCCTCGACCTCTCCGCGACCTTTGACACAGTCGACCACCCCTCCTCAAAAAAAAACTACACTCCTTCGACCTCAGAGATTCCGCTCTCTCCTGGCTCTCATCCTACCTATCACAACGCTCTTTCAGTGTTACCTATAATGCTACCACCTCCCCCTCACTCCCCCTCTCTGTTGGGGTCCCTCAAGGCTCCGTCCTCAGGCCCCTTCTCTTCTACATCTACACCTCCTCCCTTGGCCAGCTCATACACTCTCACGGCTTCAACTACCACCTCTATGCCGATGATACACAAATCTATCAACGCCTCACCCCCTCACTCTCTGCCCGAATCACAAACCTACTGAATGACATATCAGACTGGATGTCGCTCCACTTCCTTAAAATGAACCTCTCCAAAACCAAGCTGTTAGTCTTCCCCCCAGCCCGCACACCACCCCCAGTGACTTCTCCATCACGTCCAACAATGCCACTATCAGGCCCGCCCCGCAGGCCAGAGTACTTGGTGTCATTCTGGACTCCAACCTATCCTTCCAGCCCCAAGTCCAATCACTAACTAACTCATGCAGACCCCACCTCCGCAACATCGCCAAAATCCACACGTTCCTAACCCCAGAAACCACTAAACAGCTCATCCACTCCCTCATCATATCACGACTCGATTACTGCAGCTCCCTCCTCACTGGCCTGCCTCGCCACAGGCTATCCCCACTTCAGTCGATCCTGAATAGGCTCATTCACCTTACCAACCGCTCCGTTTCCGCCACCCCCCTCTGCCAATCCCTCCACTGGCTTCCAATTGCGCAACGGATCAAATTCAAAATCCTAACACTGACGTACAAAGCTGTCCACCACACTGCCTCAAACTACATCACCGACTTAATATCCAAGTACCACCCAACACGCACACTCCGCTCCTCACAAGACCTCCTTCTCTCTAGTTGCCTGGTCTCCTCCTCCCATGCCCGCCTCCAGGATTTCTCCAGGGTGTCACCCATCCTCTGGAACTCCCTACCCCAACCCATCAGACTATCACCTACTCTCCTCTCCTTTAGGCGCACCCTGAAAACCCACCTCTTCAGGGAAGTCTACCCCACCCCCTGCTAATTTGCCGACCTCCTCCACTCTTCCTACCAGTCCATCCCCCACAGCTATCTCCTCCTGTACCACTATCCCCTCCCTCCTGGATTGTAAGCTCGAAGGAGCAGGGCCCTCGAACCCCTTGTGTATCGCATTGTATTGTTACTGTTCTGTCGCATATTCTGTCTCCCCTTGTAATGTACAGCGCTGAGCGAACCTTTGGCACTTTATAAATACTGTATAATAATAATAATCCCTCGGTCCCGTGGTGTGTGTCCCGCAGCCCATTTCACCGGCTGTCCTGTATTCCAGGTGCTGGCATCTTCAGCCGGCAGCCGGCATCTTCAGCATGGGCTTTGACAGCTTGTGGCTTCACAGCCGAATACCCACTGTGCATGCGCTGGTTGCGCTGCGCTTCATGAATGGTCCTGTAGTTATCTGGGACCTGTCATTTGTCCCAAAAGACTACAGGGAGGGAGGGAGGGAGGACACCTTCCGCTTCCAGTTGCCCAGGTGATCGGACCAGAAGTGGGAGCAGGTACCTGTCAAATTCAGGTACCTGCTCCCCCTGCCCACCAAAGGTGCCAATCCTTGATGGGGAGCAGGGGAGCAGTCCTTAAAGCGGAACTTCCCCTTTTGGGTGGAGCTCCGCTTTAAGGTTAGGTTAATGGTTAGGGGTTAATATTTTATTTATTGTCTTCTTCTTATTTATTTTTTTTGTTAGGGTCAGGGGTGGTAATAATATTAATACTAATAAATGAAACAATAAATTTCAAATAAATTTCAAATAATTAATAATAATTAACCCCTAACCTTAATCAACACCCTAACACAAAATAAATTAATAAATTATTATTTTTTTATTAGTAGTCATAATATTATTTATTCAGGTTTGGGAGTTTTTTTTAAATATTATTATTTTATTATCCACAATTTTATTTATTTATTTTCAGGGTTGGGGGTTAAGGTTAGGGACTCATTTTTATTTATAGATTATTAAATATTATTAATTTATTTTATTTACTGTATTTTTATTTTTGCATGCTTTCATTTGAGCAGAAAAATGTACAATACATGCTTCCATTTATTTCTATGGAACTAAAAACAATCAAAAACGTACATATTTGCCTGATTTGAGTGACAAAAAAAGCTCCAAAACTTGTGTGAGCTTCAGATGTTTGGCTTCAGTGGACTTGGAGTGGAGATGTGAACCATTTCCATTGAGAATAAATTATTTTTTTTCTTCTCAGGCATTTTTGGAGCTTCGAGTTACAAATGGCTCACATGTGAATTGGACCTTTTACTGTCATTATTGGTCAGTGAATTTGCCCATCAATTGGACTGGCCAATAGTAAATTACAAAATGCAGGAGGAGGATAGCCTGAGCTCTCAGCCATAATATAGCACTCTGGACTTCTATCACATAACCCATAAAGTATGAGAACTGAACACAGAGGCATCTCCATGTGCTTCACAACATTCATACTGTGCATTCAGCATGTCTTATAGTCTAGGATTCCCTGCTGAAATCATAGGCTCTTATACACTGTACTGCTATGAATAGTGAACAAAAACTGAAGGAGATCTTCAGCTTCACAATCAACATTGTGAAGCACCAACTGGAAATGTGGATGTGTATAATCTGACCAGTATGCCTCATTCTTTTCCCCAGTTCTTTTATTTCAGTGAAGTTTACCTTGGTAGACGTCTTCTGTAATTTTGGATGAATTCGTAGGAACTCCAAGTAGGCTACCATCCACCTAGGGCGGGTGTCGGCAACCCATGGCTCCAGAGCCGCATGCGGCTCTTTTTCACCTTTGCTGCGGCTCCGGAGCACACTGCCCACCTGGTGACAGGCAATAGGGTCTTCTGTGTGCCGGGCGCCCACTCCCCTCCCTCCTCTCGGGCGGCCGCCCCAAAAGTCAGGACTCTGCAGCTAGCCCAGCAATGGGCAAACTACGGCCCGGCGGACCTTTTAATCCGGCCTGTGGAGCGTGGCAAACATTGGCTGTCAGGATGTAGGCGGGGCAGCGTGACGAACTCCTCTTCTCTCACAGTCCGCCCTGAAGACCGGAACGGCGCGGGAACACGGCGAGAGGAACGCGCGGAGCAAAGGTAAGTGAATTGACACAATATGGGGAATGAATTACTATAGGGGGGATGAATTACTATAGGGGGGATGAATTACTATATGGGGGATGAATTACTATATGGGGGATGAATTACTATGGGGGATGAATTACTATATGGGGGATGAATTACTATGGGAGATGAATTACTATATGGGGGATGAATTACTATGGGGGATGAATTACTATATGGGGGATGAATTACTATGCGGGATGAATTACTATATGGGGGATTAATTACTATGGGGGATGAATTACTATGTGGGGGATGAATTACTATGGGGGATGAATTACTATATGGGGGATGATTTACTATGGGGGATGATTTACTATATGGGGGATGAATTACTATGGGGGATGAATTACTATATGGGGGATGAATTACTATGGGGGATGAATTACTATATGGGGGATTAATTACTATGGGGGATGAATTACTATGTGGGGGATGAATTACTATGGGGGATGAATTACTATATGGGGGATGAATTACTATATGGGGCATGGATTACTATGGGGGATGAATTACTATATGGGGGATGAATTACTATGGGGGATGAATTACTATATGGGGGATGAATTACTATGGGGGATGAATTACTATATGGGGGATGAATTACTATGGGGGATGAATTACTATATGGGGGATGAATTACTATGGGGGGTGAATTACTATATGGGGGATGTATTTTCAGTTTTAAAAATGTGGCTCTCAAAATAAATTTCAGTCGTGGTTTTGGCGAGATTTGGCTCAGTTGAAAAAAAAGGTTGCCCACCACTGACCTAAGGCTATGATTGTGATTATGACGATACACTGTGGCCCTGATTAACCCTTTGCTTACTGGGCCCTTAAACCCCCTTCATGACCAGAGCGCTTTTTGCAATATATGCAGTGTCGGATTTGTTTTAAATGTTGCAATGGTTTTGCGGCTCCCAGTCTTTTTTTCCCTCTCGGAAACGGGTCCAAGTGGCTCTTTATGTCTTAAAGGTTGCAGACCCCTGACCTAGGGCATGGTTGGTCATTGAGCAGCCAGCAGTGAATCCATCATACCTGCTATCATACCTGCTTCATGTGCTTCATGCGACTCCCTTGGCTTTATCTCATCAGGTTTCCAGTGTTGCCTCTCCTGAAACTCTCTATTCAGTGTTGCTATCTTGTTCAGTCCCTAGACTGCTAAACCATCTTCTAAATGTAGTCTGCAATTTAAACATCTAATAGAACCAAGTTCAGTGGAAAATTATTGCGTATGGTTAAAGTTCTTATAGTAAACAACTCTTTCCAAATGTGGAGGTTGATGTATAGCTAAAGGCAATTTTTTTTTTTTTTTGATAAAGTGGAGCTGGATTAGAAAACTGGTCAAGTTTTTATGTTTTATTTTGCTACCACTACCTGTTAGGGAGATTCACCCTCTCTATTTGTCCTGTTTACTATTTTCAATAGAAGTGAAAGTAAAAGAAAATCCCAAATTTTTGGTTGTCCTCAGAACAGTAATAGGAGGGGAAATTGTCCAATGGGGACACTAGTTCTGGTGACCTTGGGGAACCAAAAGGATTCCTTCAAATTGCAGGGATTTCCTCAGTCGGGGTTCAGGGTGATGGGGACAATGGCGCTCAGCGGGGGGACAGGTTTTATTTCAGGTTTTGATTTTTCTCATTTTGAGCAATGACAATTGTCCTTCAACAGCAGTGCTGAACCCCTTGTGACAACTACCACTGACCATTGTTACTTGTGTATTTTTATCTGATTGGTGTAATATATTATAATAGTTATACTTTATATATGTTTGTAGAGTCATCTCTAGTGTTTATGGAATATATTATAAAAGTTATACTCTATATATGTTTGTAGAGTCATCTCTAATGTTTATGGAATATATTATAATAGTTACATTGTATATATGTTTGTAGAGTCACCTCTAGTGTTTATGGAATATATTATAATAGTTATACTTTCTATATGTTTGAAGAGTCATCTCTAGTGCTTATGTAATATACTATAATAGTTACACTTTATATAGTATACACTATAATATACACTATAATAGTTTGTAGAGTCATCTCTAGTGTTTATGGAATATATTATAATAGTTATACTTTTTCTATATGTTTGTAGAGTCATCTCTAGTGTTTATGTAATATACTATAATAGTTACACTTTATATATGTTTGTAGAGTCATCTCCATAGTGTTTATGGAATATATTATAATAGTTACATTGTATATATGTTTGTAGAGTCATCTCTAGTGTTTATGGAATATATTATAATAGTTATACTTTATATATGTTTGTAGAGTCATCTCTAATGTTTATGGAATATATTATAATAGTTACATTGTATATATGTTTGTAGAGTCACCTCTAGTGTTTATGGAATATATTATAATAGTTATACTTTCTATATGTTTGAAGAGTCATCTCTAGTGCTTATGTAATATACTATAATAGTTACACTTTATATAGTATACACTATAATATACACTATAAATAGTTTGTAGAGTCATCTCTAGTGTTTATGGAATATATTATAATAGTTATACTTTCTATATGTTTGTAGAGTCATCTCTAGTGTTTATGTAATATACTATAATAGTTACACTTTATATATGTTTGTAGAGTCATCTCTAGTGTTTATGGGATATATTAGTTACACTTTATATATGCTTGTAGAGTCATCTCTAGTGTTTATGGAATATATTATAATAGTTACATTGTATATATGTTTGTAGAGTCATCTCTAGTGTTTATGTAATATACTATAATAGTTACATTGTATATATGTTTGTAGAGTCATCTCTAGTGTTTATGGAATATACTATAATAGTTATACTTTATATATGTTTGTAGAGTCATCTCTAGTGTTTATGGAATATATTATAATAGTTACATTGTATATATGTTTGTAGAGTCATCTCTAGTGTTTATGGAATATATTATAATACATATACTTTATATATGCTTTGTAGAGTCATCTCTAGTGTTTATGGAATATATTATAATACATATACTTTATATATGTTTGTAGAGTCATCTCTAGTGTTTATGGAATATATTATAATACATATACTTTATATATGCTTGTAGAGTCATCTCTAGTGTTTATGGAATACATTATAATAGTTACATTGTATATATGTTTGTAGAGTCATCTCTAGTGTTTATGTAATATACTATAATAGTTACACTTTATATATGTTTGTAGAGTCATCTGTAGTGTTTATGTAATATACTATAATAGTTATACTTTTATATATGTTTGTAGAGTCATCTCTAGTGTTTATGGAATATATTATAATAGTTACATTGTATATATGTTTGTAGAGTCATCTCTAGTGTTTATGTAATGTACTATAATAGTTATACTTTATATATGTTTGTAGAGTCATCTCTAGTGTTTATGTAATATACTATAATAGTTACACTTTATATATGTTTGTAGAGTCATCTGTAGTGTTTATGGCTAACAAAAATAATAAGTGACTGCTGCAAGATTATCAGTTTCAAAGGCTATACACCTAGAGCATTTGTTTTCTACTGCCAGAGGTTTAAACACAGGCTTGCACTAAGATGTAAAAAGCCACTGAGCAGTGGGACCCACTCACCCCTCACCAGATGTATCACCAGTGTTACTGTATAAATACAAAAGATGACACTATTCACACCCCCTGCCGTGTTCTGCATTCAATAATCTCATTAGTCAGAGTTGCAGAGGAAGTAAGTAATGGAAGACTACCATTTCCTCTGCTGATGTCTGTGTTTGCAAGGGACAGGGGTGAGCAGTGGGGTGAGCTGCCAAAGTAGGTACCATGCTGATTAAGGTCTTACCTCTTTGAGAGGTTTGCCTCCCACTGTGATCTTGGAACACAGCTAGGGACACAGCCATCTCAGGACAGCAGAGTGAAAAGCAGGACTGTCCTGAGAAATCCGGGACAATTGATAAGTATGATATCACAATGTCTGAAAAACCAGTGATAAGACTTAATTTTTCTCTTTAAAACAACCTTGTGATTTGTCCTTTCAGGGTAAATATACATGTTTACTTTACTTGCCACCCCTTAGCAGCACATACTCATCTATACTTTGCTCACCTGCCAGTCCATTTAAGGAAATACCTGGTACTCATGTAAAAGTATGTGACTTGCTCCATCTGACAGTGATAGGCCAATCAGCACCACTACGTATAAGCAGGCTTGAATGTGCTAGTAAGCTGCTGCCCAACAGGGAGGAAAGTGGTTAAAGTGTTACTGAACCCAGGGCCCTGCATTCACTATATCTGGTCTCCCACACTACACAGAACATGGAAATGCAATTATTGTAGTAAATATAAACTGCTAAATACATATAAACAGCACTCTCTTGGATCTACAATGGGAAACACTGCCACATGTTGCTTGGTTTCTCTGGTTTCCCAGTTCTGGTCACACCGGCAAAGTAATCACCCTCCTTCTTTTGTAGCCAGGTTTAGGTCCATCCCTGGTGGAGTTACTGTGGTAACACATGCACAGCAACTTGCTTTACCATGCATTTTTTTTTTTTTTTTTTATAGACCCCCGCCAGAATAAATCACTCATACTATTTTTTCACTACAAATTAGCACAACAATGGGCATTGTATGTTGGGGAGCGGTTTTGTGTCGTGTTACAGCTTGTGCATTGCAGTGCGCTGTAGTAAACTGTACTGTTAATGGAGCACACCAACCCCTAAATATTCTTAAAACCATCCTATAAGTCACTCCCTTAGCACAGTAGGCCCCTTCCATTCAAGTGTAAACCCAGTGAAAAGTTGACCCAGTGCTCTATAAACCCAAATCTTTATATTTTAAATCTTGATTCCTTTAAAGATCCATTTTTAATCAATACTAACAGGTATATGCCACTTTAGAGAAAAATGAATTGATCTCATACTGTTTAAGTAGGTGTAATGTTGCAAAATATTGTTTATCTGTCAAAAAAAGTACCTTGACCAGAGGTTGC